TGGGGTTGTTTGACTGCGGAGGAAGATTTTACCATGTGACTTACTTATCTGATTCATCAGATCAGCTTGCCGTAACACTTGTGATTATACTTACAGCTATAGTCACGCTGTCGGGAACAATGCAACTTTTGCTTATAAAGAGGTTGTGACTATATAGAAGGTTTTTTTCTATAAGTTTAATAGTAATTGGTTCTCAACATGGTGTGCCTATAAAGAGGTTTTTTATATGTGTGCTTATAGAGGGGGTGACTACAGAGGGGTACGACTGTATTTAATCCAAAGATTCGATATTCTATCACCATACCGAACGCAAGAGAATTTTGAAGTTGAATTTTTGAGTTAGATGCGTTCGTAAATGTATGTAACAAAGAAGAAACATCAGACTACAACGCCGCAAACAAGGGGGTTTAAAATAACAGGAAACAGTTACTTTTTAGGGAGCTACGCCATTGTATCCTTAGCCATCAAGTCAAGAAAAAACAAGGAAATCGTATAAAAAAACGTCTCGGTATTCACCTCGGTAACGTGATATCGATTATACTGCAAGCATTCATATTTGATCGGAAATTAATATTAGATTCACACATGTAATTAATTCAGCGGAATCACTCAGTTTTCGCCGTGTCAAAAATAAAGTCCGCGAAAAGCTTGTCGACTTATTCAAAGACGGACATTCGCCAGCCTCCGCGTTGTAGATAAACGTACCTTAATACTACGAACGATCAAAAATTATTGGACTAGACACTGTTTTCCATCTTTTTCGAAAATATCGCGAGACTGCACTTGGCAGTCGTAATGGAAAATCGATGTTTGAGCGCTTAAGGTCTATAGTCGAAGAATACAGCAAATTCAGGGTATATCACGTTGAATATTTAATTTTATACATTTGAAGATCGTATGGTATAGGCCTATTGCTATGTTACGCTTGAATGAGATTGTAGTTTAAAATGTTGGAAAAATGTATTTGGACTCACTATCTTCTTTAGGCTATACCTCAGAAAATACTTCCTTCTACGCGTCATTACGAGCAAAATCCACTCCGCAGGATCAAGGATTTACAGTCCCCCTAATAATGTCCTTGACAAAAACATTGAGTGGAGGTATAAAGATTCTCTAAAATGTTTGTTATAATTATTGATCCATCTAGGGCATCTAATAAGGAAATTACTGAAGTCAATTGTACTGCGCTTGCTATGTTTTTAGGGGAAGTGAAATCAGACTATCAAAATGCTAGTCCTCAATTATGCACTGTGCTAGACAAGTTTGCAGAGAGATATCATTCAGCGAAATCGAAATCTATTCCTCGGCTTACTTCCTATCTCTATGACCTCAATCACAATTTAGACCCAACAGCCTGTGTTAAAAATGGTTCGATGATACGTGTGTTCAGGTTGAATCTGTTAAAAGACGAAAGGCCGAAGGTTCTAATGGTAGAAAGCGAAAGCCACCTAATACTATCTGAGAATTTTGATCCTCACGTTATTCCTGCACGAAAGAAGGCGACAGCTAAAAAAAAAGTCATAATTTAAGCATGCATACGAAGAATCAGCCAAATTGAAGGTATTTATAATGCAAATGGTAAGGTGTATGTATGAAGGAGGTAGAGAATAAATTATATAATAAATGGTGTTCAAATAATGTGAATCGGGGAAACGCGAAAAAATTTGTCAGATCAATTGACAATCACGTCAGGCATTATTGCTAAATTGCGCAATGTGAGCTATTGTATACTACCGAGAATGAGTGAATAAGCACCCTGTAAATTTTCGATCGTGAATAAGCGCTCCAAAGATTATTGAGTAAGGCACCACCACCAATACTTTATTACGTAAATGTAAAATTATGGGGTTTATTTCAATTCAATCGATATTTTAACTTGCTTCCGCTTTTACTAATCTCTTCTAACGTTACTACGATATGTTTCTTATCCTCATTTACATTACATTTTACTCAAATCAACCATTGTCTAAATAATCGAGAGCATTTGAGATGCCGTATTCAAACAATTGACATCTTGCCTCACTTTGTTTACAGGGAATTATTGGTAAATGAAGATATGCTATTCACAGAGTGGCTTGGCTAATTCTGGCAAAAAAGTCAGTATGTATCCGATAATAATAGTAATGGCACGTGAATTATTAGCATTAGCAAATCAGTGTAAATTACAAAAATTTTATAGTTATATAAATCATAAGCTTTGTCTGCTGCGATAAATATAATATGTGTCAACTTGAATTGTCGCGGTCTTTGTGCAAGTATTTTGGTGGCTGTTAATGTTTATCTATACTTCCATAAACACCAATATTAATATAATAAAGTTGCGTGATTATCTAAATTTGCAATAATAATAACGCGAAGAACAACATATTGTATATCTTCATTGTAGTATGATCAGCACAATGCGGAATCACGAGGAAGGAAAAATCTGAAAGGAAGGCAACAGGCGCAATTACAGATGCAGAACATATCCATCACAATGATCCTCTATCCCTTGGTTATTGTCTTGGTATTGTTGCCGCGCCTTGCATTATCCCTTGCAAGACATAGATACTCTTACGTATTCGACTCCAGTGTACCAGAGAGTTCTATACAAGGCGATGTACTGAAGAATATTGGTACCAAAACTGTAAGAATTTCGAATTTTACTGGAATTAAAGAATGGAAGTTAGCCGTCCGTCTTGGAGAATTCGCTGAGGTATCGTGTTTATAATCATTTGACTTTACGCCCAAGGGTGCTCGAAAAAATCTACTTAAACAATGTGACTGGAATATGGCCTAAAAAAACTATCCTTTTGATCAGAAAATACTTCAAGAAGAACTACCACCCTGGAAACCAGAATGGAAGGTTCGCTTTCAGATGCTGTCTCCTGATGCTGAAGAACTTCCGCCATTCTTGACTCGAGCGTTTCCCGGCTTTCATGTCGGATTGGATTTATGGAATGCATCGAGCACGCCCAGGTGAATAATCGGTTTATCGTTGCATCTACCACTGACAATACTTTATTGATGTTTGACTAGAAGAATGTAAATAGTATTTATTTATTAGGCTTGATATTGATGACGAGGCTTTTGTTGTGGCGTGTCATTATCTTTACAAGATATTTCCTATTTTCCTGTGCCCGGATCATGAAAGCGAACATCGTCCGGTGAGCTTGTTTGTGCAAACACGGCATGTTGTTTGATTAAACGAGTCGTTAATAATATTATCTCTAATAAGCATGCCCGGATAGATTTGAAGCAATCTATTATATTGCCTGAATCAAGAACGTATCTGCATCAATTTTATGCAAATAGAAGACGCATCATCGTGTCAGATTCAAAATTCGGAAATTATACATTACTAAAGAACGGCTGGAAACAACCTATAGCTATAGACTTGAACATTTTATTTGACCCAAAGAACAACATGGATATGGTGGAATTGAGAATGTTATGGAAGCTAAAAGAACAAACCGAAGAAATCATGCTTCGCAATCAATCAGAGGAAAGAGTGGAAGTCGGTGTATTTGAATACCTTCACGATGCCGATTCTTATGGAGGAGTGAGATCGATCATTGGGGAGAATAAAATTCGTAAGCGACTATCGGTTAATTCTTTCTAGTTTTAATGCGTGTCAACATCTTGTTCATGTAGACTTTTTTATTTATTTATTTCCCAACATAGTTCCGACTCTGATCACACTACCAGCTGTCTATTTGAGCAAAGAGTCTCACTTCTTCAACTCTACCATTACCACTCCGCACGGGTTTCATCCGTCGTTTCTTACGGAAATAACAATACCCACAGGGTCATTTTGTGAATATCATATAGTGCACAACCTTCCCGATAGCTTCTTTGTTGACCCATATCAGATTGAAGAACTCTTTCCCGACGATGACATAGAAATCTTGGGAGATACTGATCTAGAGAAACCAGTAAATAATCCTACTAGTCTTTATGCTGAAGGTTGGATGGGTACTGGTAGTGTAGTCAAAATCAGAGCAAGAGGCGGTACCAATACGAGCACTGTAAAATTTTCTTTGCCAATTCATCTACGTTATCACCATGCGACGGAATACTACAAACATATGGGATATGTGACAGTGAATGCATTCTGGCCGTACGTCATCGAGAATTGTAGTGAAAAACAGGTCCATGAAGGTAAGAAGATTTTTCAAGACATTATTGGGCATAACCAATACCAACAAACATTTTACTCGTTCTAAATTTCTTCACTAGACGTATTGTTTGCACCAGTCCCACTGCCACTATCATTGATACTTTCTGAAGAACGTGGGAGAATCAGATATGTAATGCCAAACTATGATCGACTCGGTCCTGATTCCCACGCAGCGTATTCTTATCCTGCAGAATCGATAAGTGTTCCCATCGGTGAATCTGACATGTCACAGACAATTCTGTTTTGGACTATGATTGCAGTCATATGTGGCAGCTTCTGGCTTAGCACGACTGTCATTCGATTAATTATCAGAATGCAGACCGATAAAGTCGAAAATAAAATGGACTGATACTGGATTTTTGCAAAGTTGGAGAGTTTTACCTCAGGCTGTAACCCGAGAGGAAGAGGAGGTAGAGGGGGATGCATCTATCATAATTTATACAATAATTATACAAATTATTCTGTTATTTCCAATAATCAAAGTATACTTGTCTTGGGTGCTTAATTGTTTTCTTGCTGCTCCTCAAAAATTCTCTAGTCTAATCTTTGTAGTAAATATTCTACTTCTACTTCTTTCGTTAATGGAATAACCCATTTCTCATACAATTCAACTACTACATCAACGTCAATTTTTAAGTGTTTGTGAATCGGGTTCTTGTCTTCAATAATGCTGTCTGATTCTGTAATATCCTGACCATACGTCAACGCCTTGCGTCTAAGCCTTCTTAAAAGAGCTTCCTCAACTTTCTCGTTTGTTAGTAAATCTTCAATAGCTTTTCTGTTTTTCGCCTTGATAAGTTGTATGTATTTTGGTTGTAGGTCTGGGTCCTGGAATTTCGCCTCCGCAACATATTTGCCTTGATAAACAACAAGTTCATCAGCGTGTGTTTGTTTGGACATGTGATCGGATGGTAGGTTACTTAGTTACTTACCATAATGGATCCTATGCGATAATGCTTGCAAGCAATCAATATCTCTTGTTGCAGCCGAGCCATGATTCATATCATCATCAGAAACGCATAAAGAAGGTACAATATGATTAATGTAAAATTCCATTATCTTGGAATTGACATTTATGTTATTTGGTTTAAGAATCCGCGGATATTCCAGAGGCGGGATGACCGGGTCAGGAAGAGGGCCCGTAAAAGGGTACTCATCAGGACTAATTGTAATGGCGGTCAATATGGATAAGCGAGCAATAGTCAATAAGAGTTTGAATTAATTACCTTTGATATCGTCTTGCTTTTGCTATATACAAAATGTATCAGTAAAACGAGTCCAAACTCTCCAAAGCTCGAAATGCTGTAAAATACCCACTCACCATGAACTTTCTCGATCTCCCACAAGAAATACTCGAGGAAGCTCGTCGATAATTCATCACTTCCTCTATACTTGTATGCGCCGGGTTTGTAAATAATATCATTGTGGGCAAACTGGGATCTTTCGATAAGTGCTTTTATTCAACAAACCCCATATATTAACACGCTGTTTTATCAATATTAATATGCGTAATACCAAAATGTACTTGCATACCAAAAATTATAGTATCCTCTAAGCGAATAAGAACATTCCTAAGCTTATCTAATGAAATTGCTTCTCTTGGATTTCCTGTTACGAAGTTCATGATGGGGCAAAGGACGGGGATCACCGATTTCGACTAAATTAGTCGACTCTTATATCAAATGATCAGATTTACCATATCACATTACTTTTTTCATCTGAATTTTTGTCATCCTTCCCACATGGCTGAGCAAAGCGAAGTTCCAGATAATATAAAACGAATAAGGACGCGCATAGTTCTTGAATCGGATATCGTTAAAAACGTAAGGGCAATCAGTCGGTTACGTTTTAATTTTCGTTGCTAGTTTCCAACCTAATTCAAAAGTTCTTTCATTCTCGTGATAAAAGACTGCTGCAACAAACTTTCCTAATACTTATCCCGGCATTGACGACTCATGGAGACATGAAGACTTTTGTCGGGTATGTCGTTACGCATTAATCGTCACTTATAATGGTGATGTGTGCGAAAAAAACAAACTTTTTGTTTATTTATTTATTTTTTCCTAGAATTTTAAAGTAAAAGTATATCGGCTGACAGATGTGGAAATGGAGTTCGATCTTATTGGTATCGATGCTTCCATTGCCAATGCATTCCGGAGAATCCTTATAGCAGAGGTATTATGAATAGTCGTGAATGCGATGACTATGGTATCATTCGCATCGGAATTTTATATGTATTTGTATGGAGCCTGACTTTTTATGATGGAAAACAATAAGGAGAGTGACAAGACAACTCAGTTTTATGAACACTTGGGCAAACCACCCAAACAATCTTTGGAGTAATATTTGTACATACGGGCGCCACCGCAATCCAGTTATTCCACAGTTATTATTTAATTATAGATTTAACATGTTTGTTGTACATGAAGGTACCTACGATGGCGATTGAGCATGTCTTTGTTTTCAATAATACATCGATTATAGCAGACGAAGTGTTGGCTCATCGTCTTGGCCTCATTCCAATATACGCGGATCCTGGAAAGTTTGACATTAAGAAGCGTAAGTTTGTTGATTTCATAAACCATTACACTAAAGCGCGTAAATTCATCTGTGGATTTTTCTTTTCATTTTAGCTGGTGACAATGCGACAGATGCAAATACCCTTGTATTCCAATTAAAGATTAGTTGTGAACAGAAACCTGATGCACGGCCAGACGAAACTGATCCAAATAAAAGGTTCATAAATGCTAGCGGTAAAGGATTATCTGACGAGCAATTTTAATATAAACAGATATCTTTCACGCAAAGGTAGTTACTGACGAAGCACGGTTATTACACAGTATATTCTGGGGATCTACTATGGATTCCACAAGGAGATCAAGCAAGCAGATTTACAGATGATAATGCAATCAGACCCGTTGTAGAAGACATATTGCTTGCAAAATTGCGGCCAGGGCAGGTAATTGAATAAAGGTCTATCTAATTGAACCTTCTTCTGAAAATTTCTAAACCTGTTTCTTGATCGTATAGGTAATAGATTTGGAATGTCATGCTATAAAAGGAATAGCCAAGGAACATGCCAAATGGTCACCAGTGGGTTAGTTAGTCAGTCAATTTGTCTTTAGTTTATTTCTGTAACCCCTCTCGCCTGTATTGACCACAACCCGTTATTTTCAACAGCAACCGCATCATATCGTCTTCTACCAGAGATCACTATTAAACAAGAGATAGTAGGTGACCTAGCTGATAAATTTGCAGCATGTTTTGCTCCCGGTGTCGTAGAAGTCAAAAAGGAGAAAGGTAGACATGTATGGTTTTTTCAGAGTCAAATGCAGAAGCACCTATAATTATACTTCAATACATTGTTAATACATGCACAAAGGAGTAAAACGTGCAAAAATAGTCAATCCACGTCGAGATACAGTCAGTCGGGAAGTTCTAAGACACAAGGAATTTCAGGACATTGTTCAATTATCCCGTGTTCGAGATCATTTTATTTGTAAGTTTGTCCTTGCTTATTTTCATGTGTAATATATGACGACACCTATTGCTAACATACACGCTGTCTGTTCATCAGTCAATGTAGAGTCAATCGGCATTCTTCCACCAGAAAAACTTTTCATGCACTCGGTAGAGATTTTGGTAGAGAAATGCGTACTACTTAGAGAAGCGCTAGAGCGCAAGATTGAAGATTCCATGCAAGAATAAACGAGAGTAATAATTTAATGTAGGAGTTTTGTCAGCTAATCCGTAAAATGCCGGGTAGTCCTAACTTCCTCTCTAAACTCCTTTCTTTACGTCCTCTTGCGATCCACAATGTCTTTTTTCACGCCCACTCCATCTTTTTCTGCTTCCAAAGCATCTAAACTTTTAGGCGTTTCAGCTACAGTCAAACCTCGATATAGTCAAGTCGACGGGACGGGGATTTTTCTTTACTATATCGAAACTTCACTATATCGATATAGTAAAGTTCATATATAAGTGGCATAAATCTCACTATGTTGCGGCTGCAAATCTTATAGCAGTATAATAAGAAATGCTCAAACGTTATTTCTACTGACGAATCTAATACTGCTGAACGATTTATATGAATGTGCTGGTACCAATTTGTTTAGCGTAGCAAGTGTCATACAGCAACCTCTTGATTCGGTTATAATTTATTAAAGCCATTCAAATCGAAGGAAACAAGAAAGACGTAAGATTGGTCAAAATCAATCAAGTGGTACTATATCGAGATGCAATCTACTAATATTGTTTGAGAAAAACTTGACTATATCTAATAACGAGACTCACTATATAACTTCGTTATATCGAGGGAAAATTAATAATACTGTTTTTGGATCAGAGGAATTCTTTACTATAGCGCGAAATTCACTGTATCAAGACTTTACTATATCGAGGTTTGACTGTAGTACACAACGCGTTTTTCAAAGCGTCTTGTATTACAATGTCATTAGATTTATCATACAAGTATGTCAATCACTTAACATTAACTTTTCGTTTTGACTTGACGTGGTCTTATTATTATCATTCTTACAGCCCAACAATACTTCGAATGATTATACGCTGATTTTGCATATACAGTAATAGCGCTCATACCAGAGGCAAAATTTATTCTTGACAGGTGATAATTGTCACATGCACGTAATTCCAAAACGCGAAGGCATTTTGATTTCTGTGGGGATGGCTGTTTTATTATCGTAATAATTTTAATTAATAGAAAATTTAGGATGGATTATAATCGGAATTAATATTAATGTAAAATAATAGAATTAATATTTTGTTTAACCCTCTAATACATTTACAAAGACAACGAAACGTATCAAAAAAATTCGAATTGCATGGAATTGCAAGTGTCTACCCATGACCTTATTTTGCTCGTGAGAAAGACTATTAAGATACGTGTACAGCAAATGTGACCAATTAACGATTGATCCATCATATAGTCTGTGTTTGCGTGTAGGCTCCATGTGAGATTGCATGTTTCAGGCTCCTACATAATAACGCGCTTCTTGCTGTTGATCCTAATCATCCACGTCACAAAATGAAGCCACGATTTCATTATGAACATCGAAGACGCAATCATGGTTGGCCGAATGAGATTGGCAAAGTTGAAATGGACTCGGAGCTAATATACGAGAGGAAACTAGGACATTGGACATTTGTATGGGTATACGGAAAGTCTATCCGCGAGAACCAAGCGGAAGAAATTCACGTTGCAGCCATCGATCCCGGAGTTCGCACCTTTCTTACCTGGTATTCTCCCACAGTTGGTCATGGAAACATCGGAGACAATGATATCAATCGCTTATGCTTTGCCCTTGATGCCCTTATCTCACGCACCACCAGAACATTAGCAAAAAAGCAAAACTCAATTAAGCGCGCTCAAGCACACATGAGAAGGCGTATTCAAAATTTGGTGGATGAAGTACATAAAAAAGCTGCATTATGGTTGACCAAGACTTTTGACATAATTATAATCGTGTTACCATAATTTAATAGCACACAGATGTCTCAGACGAAAAAGAAAAATCAATAGTCAAACAGTTCGAAAGATGATGAGCTGGGCACATGCTAGGTTTAGGAATCGATT